CTAGCAACCCGAGGCCTAGGCCTACCCGCCCGCCCCAGGCCCCGGCCCCGCGTCCCGGCGCAGGCGGAAGGAGGGAGGGGGGGCGCGGGCTGAGCTCCCACAGCTTTACCCCCGTTCCAAGCACAAAGCCCCGGCCCCTCGTCGCCACAAGCACCGGCCTCCGCGCCGAGGGGCCTGGGCTGTCCGCACCACAGCACAGGGGAGATGGGGGGGGGGAAACACCGAGGCCACTCCCCTCCACCACAGCACCCAGCAGAGTCTTGTTTTTTTTTAATGTCCTCACATCCCCAGCCCTAAGGTCGTTAAACCGCGACCTAACACAAGTGAGGTTAAAAATAATCTAAATTGGTTAAAGTTCCAAGACGGAGCAGAGCGAAGCCCCCGCCGCAGGGCACAGGCACCTCCGTCAATAAATATGGCCATCGAGCTCCTCCCTACGCGTGTAGTGGTTACAAAAATACTCTCTCTAGAGGCGTAAGAGCAGGTTAATGGACGTCAGCGCTCAGGGAGGGAGCAGGTGACGGGTTAATGGGCTTTAGGGGAGGGAGACGCCGCACGAGGCGCTTCCCCACGTTAGGGCCTCGCGGGAATCCGTCGCTTCCCGCCAGCGTCGGCCCTCCAATTAGTCATCGTTTTCCTCAAAACGGCTGAATCCAACTAGATCATAAAGCAGCTTTTCCAGAACAAATCCTTTCATAAAGGCATTCATCCAGAGGAACGTATTTTCCCAACTTCAGATCCAAAAAATACAACCGATCCGAGGTTTGGTGGGGGTCGAATCCTTCCCTCTGTAAGCGGGTTTTCTGAATCTTAAATGTACCTTCAAAAAGAGAAAAAAAAATTAAATATACTTTGCAACAAAAACCTTGCTTAAGCATCAGAGTGAGGAGGAAACGCCGCGGGTGACACTTCATTTCTACTTCACAGTTTTGCGTAATAATTTTAGCAACTCGAAGCTCGTTAATCATCCCGATCGTTACTGGAGTTCTTACATAAACCTCGTGCGATTTTTTGCTTCTCCTCACGCACGGGCTGGTAAAAGAACCCAGAAAAATTCCTGGGAAATTGAAAACAGAAAATGCAGCAGCCAAAGAGCGGCTGACTTGGAATAAAGCCCCGGGAAAGGCAACAGGCAGCATGCGAGAGTTTGAGGGTACAACGTTGCCGGATATACAGGGAGATCTTTTCTACATGGCCTGGAACCAGCCCGTTTCCTGTTTAAGAAATGAACCAAAATCATCATTTTTACTAGTGGTACTTCTGCGCCTGCCACACACGAAGCCAGGATGGGATTTCACACCAAAGCGGGCTCCGAGGCTGCAGGATCACAGATACCTGTGGTGTCAACCTGGGGCAGGAGCCGGAGGAAGATGGGCCGGGCGTAGGGAGGCAAAACCTTCTGCAGCTCCTGGTACAGGACGTTGGGGTTGACTTTGGCCTTGGGATCGGCGATGGCTGCCATCCCCGCTTTGCCCTCCACCCCTGCAAGGGAAGAGCAAGCACCGGTGGGACCGTGAAACCTTCCGGAGCCAAGCACAGGCATTTCCTCCTGCACCTCCTCGAGGTGAAGCACAAACGCGCTGAGAAAAACCCGATTTAATTCTAGAGGCTCCAAATCTGCTGCCAACGCATGCCCTCGCCCCTCAGTTTTCATGAAAATCCTGGTTTTATCAGGTTTCTCTCACATATGCCATGATAAAACCCAGCACAAAGCACCCCAGCGGGCACCTTTCTGGGCGACATCCCCCCAGCACACACTTGCTTCTGTCCCTGTGCCCTCCACAAACGAGGATTTACAGCCCACAGGACATTCCTTCCACAACAAGAGCTTCTGCAAACCTCACGTAAAAACCCTCCTTTTAAAGACACAAATAGAGGTTGTGCCGCTGGATCTCCGGTTGTTTCTACTGCTTGGAATAAATGTGTCAAACTGCTGTTTAAGTTTGTCACATCTTTTCATTTTTGGGTGCCTGGTCACAACAGAGACAACTGATTTCTGACACCGATCGGGCACGTTTGCTGAATATTCGCTGAATATTCGCCTTTCTCTCTAAATTCCAAGAGATCCGACCCGACGTCTTACCTGGGACTTCCACTCCGTACACGGCAACATCCGTCTGGTTGAGGATGTGACTCAAGGTTCCTTCCACCTCCGTGGTGGAGACGTTCTCCCCCCGCCATCGGAAGGTGTCCCCGCTCCGATCTCTGAAGTACATGTAGCCCAGTTCATCCATCACCAACACGTCTCCTGGGAGGGGGAGAGGAGACACAAAACCCACGTCAGCACTCACGTTTGTTAGCACCTGGAAGCTCAGCGTTGTGCTGTTTTCTTTTCCCAGGGGAGTGCAGAAATACTCTGGGGGCTTCCCACCACCCTACGCTGCATCTCCTCGTTACGGGAGAGGTGGCAGGAGGAAAAGAGTAGAGAAAAAAAACCCTCTCCCTCTGAAATGTTGAATTTTTGACTAAATCCAGAGCAGCTCAATAGCCGCCAGCTTCGAAACTAACACATCCGTTGACAGAATCATAGAAAAACCTTTAAAATCACATGAATTCCTCTCAAAAATCCCAGCTTTTGGTCTCTTGAGACCGCCTTTGCAGGAGGAAGGGCTGCAGTGGCACCGGCAGTACCTGAGAGGTAGGCCTGGTCCCCCTTCTGCAGCACGTTGCAGGCGATCTTCTTGGTGGTGGCACTCTGGCTGACGTAGCCGTCGAAGCGGCGCAGGGGGTCCTGCTGGTTTATCTGCCCGACGAGCAACCCCGGCTCTCCTGCAGGAAAACAGGAGTGACACAAGGTGGCACCGAATTTCCCAACAAGCAAAGCTCCGTGTGCACCGAAAGGCGTTTGGCTGCTGAACGGATCCAGCTCCCGAGGAAAAAAATGGACGTGAAAACCCGTAAACGACACTAGAAACCCCCTAAATCTGCCACAGCTTCTTAATTTTTTGTTGTTTTGTTGGGTTTTTTTTAAAAAAACAAAACGCCACGAGTGATCCGTTTGGTGAACGCTCACCTGGGCGACAGGGGATACAGAGCCCCCCGGAATCCCGGATCAGCTCCATCGTGTCCTCGTTTACCTTCACCAAGCGAATGGGATACACGTTGGGCAAAATCCGGCTGTTGAAACCGCAGGCACCCACCTTCCAAAAGACACAAAAACCCCCAAAGGCTGAAGAGAACAGCTCAGGTTTTGCGTTACCGCTTCCTGGGAATTTGCTGATCTTTCCTCCCTTCCCATTTAACAGGTAAATTCGTCCCAAACGTACAATTTTTTCGCAGTTTTTTTTGCACGTGCCATCCCTAATTACCAATTTAGCTCCCTGCCATCCCTCGGAGAGGACGTGGAGGGGCTGGCAGAGCTTCTTCTCCTTCCCGCACACCCCTCCCGGCCGCCACGGACCCTCCTCCTCCTCACCTTCCCATCCAAGTTGGCAATGCTGCAGTTGCACTCCGTGGCGCCGTAGAACTCTCCGATCTGCTTAATTCGGAAACGTTTGGTGAACTCCTCCCAGATGGTGGGTCTCAAACCATTGCCCACTGCCAGCCGCACGCAGTGTTGGGTTTCTGACTCTCGGACCGGCTGATTCAGAAGATACCTGCAGATTTCCCCGATATACTGAATAATCTGAAGCAGTAAACACAAAAACATTGCTCAGGCTTCAGGTGACCCTTACAACGCCCTGGAAAAAGCTGCCCAAGAGGCCCTGGGTGCTGGTGTACCTCGTGGGAACTACACACGTCTGACAGTTTAATAACTCAAGGCAGGGTTTCTTGCCATGAAAAGATTGGCAAAAATAAAACATTTATTGCCCTCTGGAACCTGCACGTTAGCATCAGAGAGCACGGGGGGGATCCCTCAGCATGAATAAAGATAAAGAAAAATCCCTTGTGCTTTAATAGACGCACTGAAAGGCCTCTGGAAAGAGGAGGGGAGCGAGTGATCAATCATAAACTAACAGCTTGACCCAGCAAAACGCAGTCGGAGCGAAGATCCAATTACCAGCTATAAATACTGCCGCTGGGGGAAGGGCAAGAGAAACACCAGGAAGGAGAAAGAGCTGCTTAAATTAGAAGTTAACGTCGACATCAACACAAATAGATGTTTACTGGCTACAAACTGCCACGAGAATTCCCCTGCGGAGATTCCCAGCGCGGAGGAATCCTGGGAGAGCTTTCCTGTGACAGCCAGGGACAACAAACCCGCGCTGTAAAAGCTACTTGGGACAAGTGTACAAAGAGGAAGAGGGAGAAGATGGATGAAAGGCCTTTTCTAAAGCCCTGCCTGCCTACAGAGGCGCTGGCAATTTGGAGACGCCGCAGCGCAGGCGCCTCAATATCCAGCAGATGGGGATTTAAACAATGATCAGTAATGAAGCCAGGACCCCAGGGCTGAGCACCCACGACAGTGCCCACGGAGCCCTCACCGTGCATCTGTACTTCACGCAGTCATCCCAGAAGCGACTGGCTGAGAACTTCTTCCGGATCACCACGGTGAGGCCGTGGATCAGACACTGCCCCACGCCCATGATGTTCCCTGGAAAACAAAGACCACGGGGGTGGCTCCGGCCATCCTGGCTCCGTCCTCTGGTGAGGACGCACGAAGGAGCTGGCAGGGGGGAGGCCAAGGCCCTGCTGAGGAGGAGGAGGAAGACACTTACCTGCGGAGTGATAGAGGGGGAGGCAGTTGTAGAGGACGTCCTCCGGGCGCATTCTGTAGGCGTAGTAACCGAAGGCGGCGATGCGGTAATACCTGCGGGAACACCCCGGCGTGTCAAGCTCAGGGCTCGGGGACCCAAAAGGTGCCTCCAGAGGGAAGTTCCCGCTCTGGCCCTCACCTGCTGTGCACCACGATGGCAGCCTTGGGCATTCCCGTCGTTCCCGAAGTGTAGATGTAGAAGAGCCGATCTAGAAGGGAAAGAGGCGTCAGACAGACTGTTCTCAACTGCCTGAGAAAATCCCCGCGGGGGTCGTTTCGTGGCGTCGGTGGCAGTGGCTGAGGTCGACACGTTCTCCCGATGGAGAATCTGCGTGTGGTCTGTGACAGCAGCCACGGGGACACGGACAAGAAGCTGGCAGAGCTCTGAGGACATGACCTGTGTCTATTGATGCAGATTGTCCTGGGAGGAGATGAGGTCTCCAGGTCAAATGTTAATTCCACACCAATTGAGAGCAAAGGTCTCAACCTGCGCCTGATAGCAGGGCAGGTATAACTCTACGATTAAAAAAATATATATAATCTAAAGCAAAATTCTCAGCAGCATCATTCCTTCTACTGTAAACAAAGGACCACAGTGGAGTCTCAAGGATCACAGATGCTCTGAGTTGTCTAAAGGACAAAACACAGCCCAGAGGCCAGGCAGCATCTTCCTCTCCCTCTCCGGAACCCCAAACCCACCCAGACTCTTCCTCACCACAGTGAGGGAAAATTTTATTTACATGGGAGTCAGCTGTGGGGGATGCAACTGGGGCTGCTCAAGGCCACCGACGGGTCCGAGGGAACTGCAGGGGCAGCAAAGCACAGGGCAGGTCCTGCCACGGCGGCTGCTCCCTGCGACGGGAGGGTTGTCTCTGGGCAGGCACCAATCTCCCTCCTTCGGGTACTAAATCATTTCATTATTTAATAAATAAACTAAAGCTTGGGACTCTTGATGAGAAACTTAACCCAGAGCACCCTGGAATCGGGATCTTAATTTTTTTTTCTCTTTTGGTTCTCCTTTCTTCTATTTGTGAACCCAAACCAGGTTGATTTAATCCTTCCACCTTGCTTAGTTTTCCTGTTTCACCATCACCTAGCCCAGCTCTGACACGCATCACACTGAGAAATAAATATCATTGATAAAATTACCATCCAAGCCTTTGACTGGAACCTGAGTCGGGGGCAGCTTCGACGTGGTACTCAGCAGAGGATCGAGGTGTCTGGTCTCCGCAGGAACAACCCCCGGGTTATAGTCACCAGAGCAGAATTTTGCCATGTTCTTCCCCAACATCCCATTCACCTCAGATATTGCTGCAAGACAAAGCAAGTGACTCTCACAACAAACACAGCGCTCTATGCGGTGGCAAAAATAATCTGTGTAACATCCTGCTGTGCCCCAGAACCATGGAAGGAGCTGAAGAATCCAGGGACTCCTTGAAAATACTCATGTCACATCTGTCCAGACAACACCCGCATCGATGCAGCCCAGTAAAGACCTGACCAAAAAACCCCACGTGGAATTCCTCTCCCCTGACCACGCTGAGATCTTCCAATAGCCTAGAACAGCTTCACGGAGCCGAGTCAGAATGATAAACCACCAGATCTAACAATAACGCTCGGAACAAGGTTCATTAGAGGGGCAGGGATGTATTTAAAACCAGCATCCACTGAGAAACTGACCCTGTGGCAGAAAGTGTGGCGTTAAGTGAAGAATATTAACACGAGGAAGGAGAAAAACAGGCCTTGGGGCACAAAAATCAGGACTTGGGGCACAAAAAAAACAGGCCTGGGGGTGCGTATCGCCGCCTCCCGAGGAAGCACCAGGCTCCTAGTGCAGCTCTTCCAGGTACAACAGAACAGGAGGAAACCCACGAGCTCAGCTCAGGCACCAGGAAACGGGGCAGGTGCCGGCAGATGAAACCAAGCTACTGACCCCTCTGCTGCAAACACCGCTCCTCCTTCAGCCTCGGGTACTAACGCAGCGCTTCTGCAGTCTGCAATCCAATTTACCATTTCCCCCCAGTTTTTTATACAGCCCGGTGCCGTTTTGGTTTCGGTTTAGCCAAGCTCTGGCTCCTTCAGGACCAAACAAATGGTTCACGAGTTGCCCTTAAGGCACACGAGCCCTCAGGAGCCTCACCTGAAGCCAGCTCCCCCCCGAAGATCACGGCTTTCGCACCCGACGTCGTCACGCAGTAAACCAGAGAATCCGAACGCAAATTGAAGTTGATCAGAGCCGCCTCAATACCGATTTTTGCCATCCCTAACCAGAGGCCAACAAATTCGGGGCGGCTCTCCATGAAGATGGCAATGACGTCCCCCAGCCGGAAGCCTTGCTGGTAGAAGTAGTTGGCCACGGCGTTGGAGTACTCGTCCAGCTGCCTGAAGGTCCACTGCTCGCCGGTGGCTTCGTAAATCAGGGCCACTTTGTCAGGGTGCCTGCGGACCACAGCCTGGAACATCTTGGGGATGGTGCTTTTGGCTTTTTGGTGACTTCGCAGCTTGTACTTGACTCGTAACAGCACCGAGAGGCCACTGCAGCAAAGAAAGAGCGAAACAGCTGAATCTGCAGCGTAACTGCTGAATGAGAAGGGGCACAACAGGCAGGACACGTGTAATCCGTGAGCACCCCGCTGGCATCCCCCATCCTCGAACTGAACGTTACCCTTAAACCTGGATTTCTATTCCATGCTGCTCTACAGATAACATTTTAACACTGTGGTAAGCAAAGAGCACACAGCCACTGTTCTGGAGCTTTCCATGCTACAAAACACAGGGAATTCATCTTCACATCGATACCAACTCACACAAGCTCATAGAAAATACTAAAGAGGGTAAATTCAATCTTTTAGCAATGTCTTCCACCACCCCCAAAAAAAAAAAAAAAAAAAAAAGGCCTTGGCAACCATTGCTTTTGCCTAGAAAGGAAACAAATGTCCTTCACGTGTGAAGTGTCTTTCTTTCCAGGATGTTTTGCAGCATCTTCGTGCTATTTTGTACAATCGTACCCCCTCAGGATCCGAAAGTGTTTAAACAACCCGACCACGTGGTAACAACGCGCGGCCTCAGCTTCAAGAAGACAAAAGCCAAAGGTTTCCCCTTTCACCCACAAACCGAGGGGATGGCTGGTGCGGAGCTCGCGGGCGCGTTTTCCTGTGAGTCAGCCTCTGCCGCAGTCCTGGGATGGTAGGAAGAGAGTCTCTCTAAATCCCACCAGGCAGAAGTCACAGATTTTAATAATAATTAATAATAATGAAGCTCCTTTAAAGATGGTGGTGCCTTCTCAAGAAAAGAATTGCTGCCTTTGTGGATATCTGACACCACAAAGAGCGACTGCTCAATAAAAGAACAAACCACACTGCTCTAACAGGGCATTTTTTTTCCCCCCCTCTTTGGTAATTTACATAATTATTTTAAGTCTCTCTCTTCAGTAATTTACGTAATTATTTTAAGTCTCCAAGGCAGCAGCTGCGAGTCACACCTTGACGCAGCTCGATCTGCACGGCAGCAAAAGTTGTTGCGTGAACTTCCAACTGCCTCGTGTTGTCCTGGAAGAAACTATCTTTAGGGGCGCGTTGGCTCTCTCGCTTTGGCCATCGGTTCTGATTTATTAAAACACGTTTCCACCAAAACGGGGACAGCAGGTCTGGGTACACGTAACGGATCTTGTTTCCTTCCCGGGGGTAGGAAGATGGAAGCGGTATTTTTCCACCATTAAAATAGGAAATTGTTGCGCAACAAGGGTTTGGAAGAATCCCCAGAAACTCAAAAGGTCACTTAATATTAGCACTCAGAACCCCCCGCAGCCCTCCCGAGAGCCGGAGCCTCGCGGAAGGGGGAAGGGTGAGTTTCAGAAACAAGTTGTTGGCAGCAGTCGGGCGAGCTGGGCTTTCACAGTGACCTGACGCCGCGCTGTGCCAAACACAGAACAGAGGAGCCTTTTCACTGCTGAGCTGCGCTTTCCAGATACTTAAAGGGCTTTATTCTGCCCGGTTTATTTTCTGCCATTATTCCCAGCTTGCCGGGCAATCGGGAGGAAACAGCTCTTCAAAGTGCAGTGACAGCCAGAGCGAAGCTGGCAATCGCGGGAGCCCTAAATCCTTTGGAATAAAGAAACGTCCTCGCGGAGGCCTAAAAACCGCGGAACTAAACGCGACGGCGGCGCCGGGGCTCCCAGGAGCTGGAGAAGCTGCTGGACACTTACCGCTCCTCAACGCCGCGAGCCCCGAGTTCACACCGAGGGATCCACCTGCTCTTTAAACTCGGGGGGTGGCAATGACAGGCATCACTCCGCAAGCCCCCCGAGTCCCTCGGCTCTGAGCCTGAGCCTCCCCGAGCACTGGCAGGGCAGTGGGGGGCTGCCTGTGGTTCAAACCTGACCTAGGTCAGGCTTAAAGGCAGTGAACCCCGCTTAACACTGCCCTCACCCCTTCCTGTGTAGGGCTGGGGGCTGCCTGCGAGGTGGGGGGCTGGGGGAGCCCCGGGGGGAGAGCCGGGAAACCCCGATGGAGGGGGTGAAGGCTGGGGAGGGAGGACCCTGA